CAAGTATGTGGGGAGCTTGCTTGGTGACGTGAAAGGAACGGATTTTGATCCGAATAAGAGTCGGAACAGAGATTTTTTCAGAGCCAGAGTTTTGTTTGATGTGTCCAAGCCGGTGAAACGTGCCAAAGTGTTTCAGTTTCCTTGTGGTACTTCTGTAAACATCTTCTATGATTTTGAGGGGATACGAAAGCGTTGCTTCTATTGCCAGAGATTGACACACGAAAGTCTCAAGTGTCCTTTCAAGAAACAGAGCACTCTAGCAAACGAAACGGTCTTACTTGGTCATATTGATGAGGTATTAACTACGCCTTGTAGTAAGGATGTGATGACGGATCCCTTGGTTGGGATTCTTTCGGAAGCACAATTGGGTTTGGATCCAGCTACCGGCAAACCACGAATTCATCCGGATGTTCTCTGTGAAATGAGACAATCTTTGACGACACAAGACATTGCGGAAAGGAGAGCGAGGGAACTGCGTATTCATAAGCAAGTTAATGCCTTGGAGAAGGATCCAATAGCAAGGAGAAAATATTTGTTATTGGAACCGGTAACTGATGCGAGTATGAGGCTTGATAAAAGTAAGGCGATAGTGGTTTCTCCCGATGATCACGAACACGTTGATGTTCTATATGATTTAATACTTTAATATATATAAGCAAATAGATGCAGCTACAAAATCACGAAACACATTTTGATAATTGTATCAGAGTTTATGTAGTTTTTCTTTATATGCTTGAGGGACTTTCTTTCTGATATATGGAATCATATTCTTTGAAACGGAGATAAATATAAACTATATGTTTAAATTTAAATCGCTTGAGTGAACATGCTTATGAAACATGCATCTTCTAATGACACAAGAAAGATTGTTGGAGTTTTTGTAACACCCGACTCGCTTACTTAGCCGAGACGGCAAGTCATGAAAACAACCTATCAATTCTAACGGATACTTTTATGAAAATCAATAATTTATTCCCTAACTCAAGTCTTAAATCATCCCACAAAACCATAATTCCAACTTAATAAATCCTTCTCGTGAAAAACCAATGTAGAAAAAATACTAAGTAAATTGTTTTAAAAAAATCCAAACATAAATCCCGCTAAAACCAGCACCCGGACAACAACCACCTT